GAGGGCTCAGGTATGACGGGAGAGGGCTCCCAATCTACAGAGGAGCTCCTTATTGAAAGGAAGGACTTCAATTTTGTGCGGTTCTCCCCTTAAAACCCTCTACATATCAGACTGGGGTGACTGGAGACTTTGCACGCTTGTAACGGAGGACACCGCAACTGAAAAGAGGTTGAGAAATGCTGCTGTAGAGGAAGCTGCCGGCATATGGCGTCATCTGACGGTTTCTTTCCTCTCCAAGGAACCCCAATGGTGACAACGGTGACACATTGAGCTACAGCCAGACGCCATGAAGGATAAAATCCAATGTAAATGGCGTTCTTCTCACGGGGAAGTTGTATAATGAATAGCCGGGTACACAGCAGCTTCCCTGACACAGAGATCAGACACAGAATGTCAGTCTGTCACATGGGAGCGCACAGAATGTGACTGGAAAGCAGAAGTGAACCTCTCACCGGACAGAACCTTCATATCAGCAGATGGGAGAGAGCAGGAGACGCCAGGAATACAGGAGACGTGTCTCCAGAACTGAGGGGAAATCTTCCAATGGGGACACCTGTGCCGGGGACACCTCAGAGGGGAATTCCCTGTGACTTCCTGTTGTATCTCTGAGACAGTAATTTCCCCACAGAGACAGCAAGAAATAAGCTGACAGGATTTTATTTTCCTTCCCTTCTCTATTCAAAGCATAAAACTTTATACACTTTAAAGAATGACGGCTCAAGGCCGGTCTACATGATCATCACTACCAAGTGCAACATGGGCCTTCCAGCTGTGGTTTAACTACAAATCCCAACATGCCTTTGTCTTCAAGTGTCATGCATGTGGCTTTCAGAGTCTTGCAATGCCTCATGGGACTTGTAGTTCAACAGCAGCTGGAGGCCCAGAGTTGCACACCCCTGACCTAGTGAGTCCCTAACCTGAAACAGGCATGCAGGACGGAAAGTCAGACGTTTCAGACTTCACTAGCTGCATGCTTGTCACAGGTCAGTGAGTCACTAGGAGTGCAAGCAGGATGATAGCAGCACTCCAGCTGTGGTGGGACTACATATCCCATCAGGCATCTTCTTCTGGCCTGTGAGAGTCTTGCAATGCCTCATGTGACTTGTAGTTCCACAACACCTGTGATGCCAAGGTCCCCTCCCCCTGAGTTCCATGCTGACCTCCAGAATAGGGACAATCAGAATGGGACAGGAAACACACATCAGTCACATGTACACACATTACCTTGCGGTGTCTCCCTCTCTCCGGGGGAAGGGGGGTCCTTGAGAATTCCACTGGGCTGAGGTTATATATGCCCCTGCCGATCCAGATAAAGAGTGAGCAATAGCTCTGCTGGAAGCTGCAGTCTGCGCCCTGACACTTCACACTGCAATGTATACAGTCCAGGGAATGAGCATGTCAGAGCTGATGTTGCAGAGGAGTCCCCTTCCCGCCACCAGCACAGACCTATGACAGGGGACACCGGCTCCCTCTAGTCACCCTCACGACACCCCGCCACTTCCCATTCACCGCTCTGCACACACTTCCCTCTACAAGGCCGGAAGGAAGAGAACAGGAAGCGAAAGCCGGACTGTCAGAACGGAGTGGGCGGGTCTGAAGCGTCGCTGCACCAATCACTGCTCAGCTACTGTTACCACGCCTACTACTGGGCACATTTCTAGTTTGAGAATCACGGGACTGTAGTCATGCGCCATCACGTGAGCAGTCGGGGGCCGTCGCGCGATGACGCAATCGGCCATTGTGGGAAGTGTAGTTCTAAAAGATGCCTGGATAATGATTGGTGGAGCTCAGTCATTGGCTGTGACTCTAGCGCTATAGGTAGATTAGGGCGCAGAGGAATGCTTGGAGTTGTAGTTTACTAAGTATCTTCTCAGCTCTAATTATGGGAGGCATCCTCCGCACGCTGGTTGTGTTAAAAACTACAAATACCATCATGCATCTCCATCAGCTGTAGCTGTCAGAGTCTTGCAATGTCTCATGGGACTTGTAGTTTCACAACACATGGGAGATTGCCTACCGCTGTCATAGAGGATATCAGATCCAGACTGTGTTGTTCAAGCCTCTGTCTGGGGCGGAAAGCTACAGAGTGCAGAGAGAGGATGACTGGAGTAGAACCAATAGGCATCCTCCATTGTACATAGAATAATTCTATATGGCTCCTGGCTGCTATGAGTCTGTTTACAGGGTGCAGCTGACATGTGGCAAACAATGGCTGCAAAAGAATTAAAGCGCATATATAGCCAACGTTTTTATTTTTTGTAGTTTGGGATAGAACAGGAAAGGGTTGAAACCTCTATCAGGTTATGTTTTGCTGTCTGTGACCTGCTGGGAAGATTTTCCTTTACTTCCTGCCATGGAGACACAACAGGAAGTGGGAGGAAATCTCCTTAAAGCGAGGGGAATTCCCATCTTCAACACTTGTCACCAGAACGTTCATCCCCTTCTAAAGATTTACTCAAATTTCTCGCTCTCAGCTTTGACATTTTGGGTTCTCTTTCAGTCTCGGTGACAACGGGTCAGTACAAATAGAGGGGTGTCATGGGTCCCTTTCACATGAACGTGTCAGGAGAGAATCCGTCAACAGATCCCCTCCTGATCACAGCAGTACAGAGCGGTGGCATCTGGGTACATACAGTTTTAAAAATAGAAAGTGGCGGATGCCATGTTGGTCTATGGGGGGTCTGATGCAAACAGATGTGTGTCCATTTATATCAGATTTCTCCCGGTCCGGCACCATCCAATCCGGCAGAATGGATCTAGCCGGAGCTAACCGAGTGTAAATTGTCCGTTTCCACGTGGCTGCCCATAGACTTGCATAGAGCGTCCGATCGGGTCCGGCTGAAAAACGGACAGGGGGACTCGATCGGACCGCTCATGTGAAAGGGGCCTCTGGAGTAAAATGGGTGAGAAAGACCCGTTTGACACGAGCGATCAGGTTGTCCGGTTTTCCACCTTCCGTTTGCAGATGAAAAACGGACAACAATGCATGGCAGTGCGGAGGAAAACTGATCACCATCACATGACATCAGGAAACATCCGTGTCAGTCCGCACATTGAGACGGATCAGTTCTCCGTGTGTCACCCGGTCTGGAGATACTCATCCATTTCTTGGAGATGGCCCAGCGGTGACAACGCTCCCTCCAGCCTAAAATGATCACATCATTCAGAAGTACCTAGGGCCCTGAAGACAGCTCTGCCTCTTAGTCTTACAGATCATATATGTGTAGATTGGATACCATATAATATTTAGAGTTGAAAGCAGAATGGATTGTATGAAGACCATTTATATACAAATTGATGTTACAGGTAATAAAGTGGGGACGCACTGGGGTCCCAGCCTGCATTCTAGATTGCTGGGCCCCCAGTGCGTCCCAGCACCTTATTAGGAGGAGTTGGCTACCTCCAGGTACACCTACCACACTTTGCAGAGGTGCTTGGCGCGGCAGTGTGGCTTCTGCATATTTTTGCCCAAAAGTTTGTGCAACTAAAACCTCTGATTTTAACGCATACTGTTGACAGGGCTACTTGTTTGGTTGCAGGCTGGCTGGCAGGTTGAGGCTGGGGAATTTTTGTGTTTTGTATTGTTGTAAGCCTTCCCAATGTGCTCCCTGCCAAACAGGCTGGTTATAGATTCATGCAAGTACCATTTTTTCTTGGTAATAAAGTAACCCAAGCAAAGAGGAATTTGAGTTTCGGTGATTCCGGTTGGGTGGGATCTGATAAACACTGACTATCATAAAAGTGTATACGCTTTAATACAACTGAGAAACACTGACCTATCCAACTTGTAAACTGGTATGATGGCATCCCATTGTACATGCTATATATGCTTTACTTGTGCTCATTCTATACTTTGCGGTAAAATGAGTTCATTTTGAGACAAGTATATACAATATATGGCACATCATTTTCTGAGGTCTTCGCTTCTGTGGTTTCCATGGGAAAGCTTGCTTTTTCTGAGGTTTTCTCAGTGATCAGACACTGTCCTGGCTTCACTCGGTTCTTTGGTATATGGGCATTGCTGCCAATTATATGAGGAAAGGAAGACAAAACATGTGAACATTGAATTAGTTGACTGAATTGAATTGCATGACTCTCCTTGTATAAGTGATTGTAGGAATGCATATAAATGTTGCTGTCCCAACAGTGGTAATGACATCATAGCTTCAGGGGCGTAACTAGAAATCACAGGGCCCCATAGCAAAATTTTGTATAGGGACCTGTGATTTCTAGTTACGCCCCTTACAGAGCCCACCTGAGGTCCCAAACAGCCCACCTGAGAGTGACCCTGCAGAGTGGGCTCTGCAGGGTCTCAGGTGGGCTGGTCACACCCCTGCATACCTCTTACCTGTCAGCCTCGATTCGCTGTCAGCCTCCTCCATTCCCGGGCCCGCCACCTCCTCCTCAGCTGTTGGCTGTCACTGACTCCGCAGTGGCTGTGAGGAGGAATGTGCCGGTGCATAGATTACTGACAGGTTGTCAGTGATCTGAACAGGGGCGCATTTCTCCTCACAGCCGTCAGTGACGGCCAGCAGCCAGGGATGCCATACCATACCGACCCAGGTGGCCCGCACAGCATCAGGGGGACCCCCTTTGTTCCTAGTCCTGGCCGGGCCCCCCTGTGCCCTGAACCCAATAGCGGCCGCCTGGGTCGCCATGGCAATAGTTCCGCTACATAGCTTAGAAAATAATGTCATACTGCACTCATGACATTTGCTTAGAGCAGTGTTTCTCAACCTTTTTTTAGTCACAGTGCTCTTAAAAGTATGCAAAATCTAAAGGCATCCAAATCTAAAATGTAAAAAATGTAAATGTAAAAAAAACTGACGTGTGGCCCCTCCAAAATTCACAATTCCAATAAGGGGGCCTGGTATGGATTTTAGGGAAAACCTCACACAATAACACAAAAAAAAAAAGGTTCCCCCATCACATCAGAGTTTCCCCTTCAAATTAGGAGACCTCCTTCCCACCTTTCACATTAGAGTCCACCCACTTGCACTAGGAGCCCCCCTTTTAAATCAAAATCCCCTCCTTTCACGCCAGAGTTCCCCCTTGACATCAGAAGCCTGTCCGCATAACGGAAAAGGAAGACACTGTGTGCAACCTTCAAGGCACCCCTGAGGAAGGCAGAAGTCACACTAGGGCACCATGTTGAAAAAGGATGGCTTAGAGCCTATACACCTGTTTCTGAACACAAGAAAGCATGTAATGAATCCTGCTTATACCTGTAGTTATCCAAAGTCAAAGCAGCAAAATATATGTAGTGACCCCCATTTGCAGCATAGTACTCCCCTGTCCAAATCACACTTAAAATCTATTCATATTTGAGCAGAAAAACACCTACTTAGCCAAGTCGCACCCCCACTCAGGCCTCAAAGTATGGGCTGCCCTGTCAAAAAAGGAAAGAGCAGTGACTGCAACAGCAATTACTTACCATCTTTATTATGCACTGTACTCAGTAGTTGGGTACATCGTACATTGTCACAGCTTCCTCCCCTGTCAATAAAAAAGAAAAGTTTAAGAATTTCTGGAATACTTTCCCTGTAATGAAAGAGAACATGTAGGGTCAGCTACAGCCAAGGTTATCGTCCAGGAGTAGACATTGCTAATGCCCAGCTCTTGGAAGCAGTGTTATATCTGAGGCAGAACATAAAACTATCTCATACATGCAGACAGATACAATCACCGCAATCACAAATGTAAATACTGCAGTGTTTACACTGAGATCTCTCCTCTCACAACATCACAGATGTAAACAGTGTAGTGTTTACACCTGGGAACCCTCCCCTTCCTCTCGCAACATAATAAATGTAAACAGTGTAGTGTTTACATATGAGAGCCCCCAGCCTTCCTTTCATAACATAATAAATGTAAACAGTGTAGTGTTTACACCTGGTAGCCCTCCCCTTCCTCTCACAACATAACAAATGTAAACAGTGTAGTGTTTACATCCGAGAACCCTCCCCTTCCTCTCACAACATAACAAATATAAACAGTGTAGTGTTTATACCTGAGAGCCCTCCCCTTCCTCTCACAACATAACAAATATAAACAGTGTAGTGTTTATACCTGAGAGCCCTCTCCTTCCTCTCACAACATAACAAATATAAGTAGTGTTTATACCTGAGAGGCCTCCCATTCCTCTCACAACATAACAAATGTAAACAGTGTAGTGTTTACATCCGAGAACCCTCCCCTTCCTCTCACAACATAACAAATATAAACAGTGTAGTGTTTACACTTGAGAGCCCTACCCTTCCTCTCACAACATCACAAATGTACACAGTGTAATGTTTACATCTGAGAGCCCTCCCCTTCCTTTCATAATGTAGGAAGGGAGGAAGTAGAAATTATCTGTATATCTGTATGTGACGTGTATTTGAACCCAACAAGCAAAACAAATGGCAAACGCACTCATAAATCCATAACCAGCTTTAAAGTAAGGTGCACATGGAAGGGCTTTACACAGTACAGAATCAAAGGTTTCCAGCACACTTAGCAGCCAGTCTGCAAAAAAAAAAAAAATACACTGTCTAATGTTTAGGGTTAAAAACAGAGGCTTTAGTTCCACAACTTTTACAAAATAATAGTGTATATTTTTCAAAAGTTGTGCAACTAAAACCTCGGCCGGCATCTGCAGCCTCTCCTCCCTGCCTGGAGCCGCTCCAGGCTGGGATCTGCTTCTCCTCGGATCAGTGTTCATTTATGAGTGTCTCAATAGGGAGAAGCACTCATTACAGTGGCTTCTATCCATTCAGAAACTGGATGATAGTAAATATTTCAGCTTGTGAATGAATGAGAAGCCTCTGTACTGAGTGCTTTCCATTCATTGAGTAAATAAAATAAAAATACATTGTAAAAAATAAAACACAAATACCCCCTCCCCCCAAACACACACACATAACATACACGTGCACCATATTGTGGTGTATGCCATGCACATGCGTTGTTAGAACGCACTGCAGTGCTTGATTTTCTGTTTTTTTTCTTTTTAAAATAACATTAATTTAACTGTGGCAGCGCATGGCAAAGCATTGTGACGCATTGCCCGGCGTTGTGATACGCTGTGTTGCAATTAAATGTACGTATGTATCAGTTTATCAACCAAACACAGGGCACAAACGATTTTTAACATATGTCGCCTGAAGACGCAACGAGAACAGAAGGGAGCCAGGGGGATACATAAAAAAGACTTGTGTACCAGACAGTTATGTGTTTCAAGTGTAAATGTTTTCATGACTTTTGTGTACCTGATTCATAGTAGTCAATTATCTTAATCATTTTAGGTTTTTGATTTTGTACTCTAAATTCTTCAACGGCTAAAAAGGTAAAGGTCTCAAATGATCTGTTCAACTGTGGGAAAACAATAGGAAACAGTAGATGTAAATCAAACTAACAACAAAAGTTTCAAAAAACAAAAACGTACCCGAAAAGGAAAGATAAGAGGGGTAAAACCATGAGCAGGCAGGGGAATCTGAGCATGAGCTGAACAGTGAAAATAGTTTGAAGATATGGAAGACGTAGAAGGAAAGACAAGAATGGAAACATTGCAGAGAAGAAGGTGGTGAAGAAGAAAGACTGGGTAATACAGAAGTGGATAAAAACATGAGGAACAAGAGGATACAGGACCAGTAAGTTTGGAGAAATAAAGAGAACAGATGATATAATATGAAAAGACTTGTTTACAGAAAAAAAAAAAAAAAAGATATTGTGAAGAAACACTAGAAAGGAAAAAAAAAGTGGTGGAAACAAATTAGAGAATTTTACTGATTTTGGTTTATTTAAAGCTGAACTTTGGGAAAATATAAAGTTACCCTTGGTTTCCCCTGCACTGCAAGGGTTAAATGCTCTTTTTGTCTAGGGTACCATTAAAAAGCTATTTTACTTACAATACCTTATCCTTCGCTCCTCCAAACTTCTTCCTCTTTGTGCAACTGGTCCCCCAAAGCTGCTTCTCTTCACCGCAATGTTGGTGGCACTCTGAGGTCATCAGATACAATGCAGGACCAACAGTCCTGCATTGTAACCGAGGACGTTGAAGGCGCGCCCACCACCCAGAGCATCTGAGAGAAAGAGGAGAGTGCCAGTTGCTGGGGAAGGGGGTAGGCGAAAGATAAGGTAAAGTCAAAGTGTTTTTTAATAGTACCCTAGGCAAAAACAAGCATTTATTTAGGGATGTCCCGATACCATTTTTTCAAGACCAAGTACAAGTACTTTCCCTCGGGTATTTGCCGATGCCAATTACCGATACTTTTTCTTAAAGGGACCTGTGACTGCACTGATGTGCACTGACCTGCATAGACCTGTACTGATCTATATAGGCCTGTGCTGATCTATACAGACCTGTACTGACCTTCACTGACCTATATAGACCTGTACTAACCTGTATATCCCTGAGCTGACTTGCTGTATTGACCTGTACTAACCTGCAGTGACATATAGCACAGATGTATGTCGCAGACACAAGCAGTAGCGTTCAGAACAGGCCTTGCTTCTTCTGTGTCTCCACTAGCTTGTCTCGCAGCCTCTTCTTCTTCCAGTCCAGTTATTTCCTGCGCTGCCTGTTCGCCTGCCAGCCTACCAGAACTCTGGCCAGGTGGGTGCTGGGCTGAACAGGCGGGTGTCTGGCTTGTGCAGGTTCCAGGGTTGTACGTGTGGTGTGGGGCTGTCCTGAGCTGTACCGGCGCCGGGAAGGAGCGGATGTGGGGCCGGACAGACACTGTCAAAGACAGCTGCCACCAGGATCCCAGCTGGCTGTCTGAGGTCCCCACAAGTGCGGGACCTCGGGCAGCCACTCTTGTTTAAAAATCTAAAGGGCCAGTATTGCCCTTTAGTATTGGGGCATTTTCACAAGTACAGGTACTTGTGAAATCGCCCTGTATCAGCCCCGATACTAGTATCGGTATCAACGCATCCCTACATTTAACCCTTGCAGTGCAGGGGGAATCCCACTGCAAGGGTCAGTTTAGCTGTCACACCATACTTCTAAGGCAACGATGTTCTGTAACATCTGGTAACCAATCCAACAATCAACCTTCATTTATTTGCTTTGCTTCTGCTGAATCTCTTTTCTGCTTGGTTGGAATCTATGAAGCACTGCTCCTTGGATTATGCTAAAAAAAGCTTTTATACACTTTATGTTTAACCTCGGTCACAATTTCTTGTCATCATACCGCTGAAATATAAATATTAACATGGCTTTCTTCACTTTCAGTCCTCTTCACCAAGCCCTTTGTCATCTAAAAAAATAAATAAAGGGGATGAACAAAAGATAGTAAGCACACTATTTCATGTACACTATACAGTGGTAAAATTTGCCAGTCAAACTAAGACTCAGACACTGCACAATTAAAGGAACTGGAAAATTCTAGTAGATGAGTACGAGTGACTTATCACATGGAATTTTGAGAAGAATATCTACAGCAGTGTTTTTTTTTTCCTATATCAAACCATGCAATGATTTATCACAGCTATTGTTATCCAACTACATCTTAGTGTGCTTATTTTTCAGGTAACCCTTAGGCCTAGTTTAGACGAGAGATTGAAGGTGGATAGTTTGTTGCCTTCAGAGGTGGCTAAACGCTGTCTTTGGATGCAACTGCACACAAGCTGGCCAATGACATCCTAACGTCACCCCTGGGCGCACACCTTTTGCATCCAGGGTCAGTCGGGGGTCTATATTTGTATGTAATGGCTTGGAAATTTGGTTACAACAGCAGAAGTTGCGGTGGCCAATGAATTGTGCAGAGAACGAATCAGACAGCCGAAGCTGTGCGCACACACTGCGTGTTTTCATCGTATTGTTTTGCCGCCAACAATCACTGTATTCTTGCAAGTAGCCACCTCCGGCCGCCCGTGGAGATGTTTAGAAATGTTTAGAATTTTATCAGGTTCTCAAACTAAAAAAAAATACACAGTTTTGTTTTATGTATACTTTTTTTGCTAAAACCCAAAACTGAATGCCAGTCAATCAGCTAAATACATAAATGAGATGCATATACAGTATGTCCACTGTTTGTATTGCCAAAGGATTTCTTATTATAGGTAACCACTTTTGTTCCAGGCAACACTGCCAGATCCTGTACCTGGTCAGACCTCTCTGCAGACTGTACTGAAGGTGAATAATAATGCAGTTTGTGCTGTGATTGGGCAAAGAAGAAGCAGCAGCAAACCACTGAGATCACTGTGCTAAATAATTCTTTTTTATTGCTACCCCTTGCATTATAAATACAAATTGAACATAGAAATAAGATTTTTAGAACAATAACACACACTGATAAGTTTATTTACCTTATTTATGCACATACAGTATCATAATAAAACTGTTAAAGTGAACCTATCAGTACATAAAACTATCTAAATTGACATCCCAAAGGCTGCATATATTTATGTGCCTTGGGGAACTCTTATATGAAAGTCTCAACATTTGCAGAAACACTGGAAGCTGACCAACCCTCTCCTGCCTCCTTCACCTTAATGTGACCTGCAATAAATGGCACAACCTGCAACAGATTCAGGTAACTGTTAGTAAGGTGTATATGAATATGCAGAATTGCCTCAGACAGAATTTTGTTTGAGGCACAATACTTAATACTTACCAACATCTTAGGGGTCTATTCACAAAGCTGCCAAAGGATCTGGCCGTAGCTTCGGCCGATCCTTCGGCTGGCTTCAGCCCCAGGACCCCTTCGGTTCAGGAGAACCGAGGGGGTGCTGTACGGGCTATATAGACCCCTTAGTGTCTTATTAACCTCCATTTTTCTCGAATCACAAATATGGGCATTTTTCTTAATGAACTAGCGGGTCATATTGCCAAAATAGTTCTGCAAATGATTTATTTTATCACCTCCATGAGGTTTCAGGATCAGGAGAGCATTGGGGTCAATATTTTTTTTTCCATTTAAGGTCTGCTAAAACTCAATACATTGAGTCTTTCATTGTCTGCAGCATATTATTTGAATGTACTGGGTAAGCTCATGGACAGATATGATGCAGCTTTAGGAATACTCTGTTTCCTATGTAACCGATGAACATTGCAACACATAAAGAACTCTCAACTTTACCGAGTGTCAGAGGGGCTATACTCAGATACCAAGCTATGTAAAGTTATCTATTGACATTTGGAGATGATTGATGATGCAGCTCCAAAATGATCTTTACATCTTGTAAACCCATGCATGTGTGCTCATGATTTGTGGGAAAGAAGGCAACATCTTCTGGCACCAATGTTATTCTGGGATAACAATAGAGGTTAGCTGAAAGCATCCAGCATTAGTAACTTCACAGTTGACACAGAGGACAGTTGGCCAGTGATGTCTTCTGGAACACATAGGTATAATATACAAAAATAATAATGTATAGAGATATGTGTATGGTTGTAGTCCTTTCTTACCCTTTCCAGAGACTCTTTATCTGCACTGAACCCAGAGGGTAATTCAACCTGTATGAGAGCCATGTTTGATGCATTACGGGGTCCTGTGTACCTATGGGACATAAATGACTATATTACATGTTGTATTGTAATATAAAATATTCTGATTTTTTTCCTTAAACAATACAAAAATGCAAAGAGAATGACTAAGAACAAAACAAAGATCTGAAGATTTTAAATGTAAAAATAGCAACTCCAGTCAAACAGCTAAACACATACAGTATATTGTTTAGGCACCATTCTGCTTGAGGAGATACTTTTGTGGTAATGCACATAGTCTTGGGGGTTCCCCTGTACTGTACTGTACTGTACCATATACTTGCCTAGCTTAGGATGGGTGACAACACTATTTTGAACCTAGACTTCTACAGATTCAGTACCATTGCCCCTTCTTCTACCTGCTCTTTTACCTACTCTAGTACAGCATCACTATTGTGATAGTTACCCAATGGTCCTCTCTGTCTGTCCATCTAACACTTTCCTGCCCATCATCCTAAACATACTTTTCAATATTCTAAAAAAATTGTAAGGGCACTTTTCTAAAATAAATAGATAAAACAGGTGGCACATGCAAAGGCCGGATCCTACACTAGTGTTGGATTTCTTTGTTGTAGCCCTACCTGCAGCCCAATTTATCGAGCTTTTAACACCTGATACCAATGCTATACTACAGATATCCTGTGAGTACATGACTTTCTACAAACTCTTGTACACCGTTCCTGCCATTCTCCATTAGCCCTCCCTCTCTGCCCATTTACGCTCAAACACAATGCACTTCTCCTTGCTATTCTTTACACCCCCTCCACACTCAGCTGCCACCATGCAGATAGGCATCACTCTCAAGCCATTTACGCTGAGCCAACACCTATTTAAAATGTCTCTACCTGTCATTGCCCATGCATCACTGCTCCCCAGTTACTATGTATCACCTACTGTGTTTACCTTAAAGTTGAACCGCAAATATACAGTTAAAAAAGATGAACTGTTTTATATGTTTTTATTTGTAGAGGATTTGTGATTCTTTGCAGCTAGTGTTGTGTTGTAGGCACCCCTTCCAGCCAGCACAGTGAGGCTGAGACCCCTTCAGTAATTGGACAATGAAGCATATTAATGAAATCATCACTCTTTTTCCTCCTGTAAGTATACCCACGCTTACAAATGGAAAAAACAGAGTGCTGACTGGCTTCGACCCTCCAGATAGGAGGAGGTAATTTAATTTTCCAAAATTCGCCATGGAAAGCGGAATTATCCTTTAAAGGGAACATGATGACTTCACTTTGTTTTCAGCTCCAAAAGTCCCAGACTACACATCACAAAGTACAAAAGTATTATTTTTTAGATATAATATGATAATTCCAACTTACCTTGCAGATATAGTAGAATTTAAAACAGGTTTAGCTTGGTCATCCCCCTTTACCATGGTGACATTAACCTCTACGTCAAAAGCTGATCCGACTTTAGCATTTTTTATGTTGTACTTCAATGATGTCTGTTAAAATAAAAAAAAATAAAAAACATAAAAGGGAAGACGGACTAAATGACCAAGAAACTTAAAGTCAAATATTATTTTGCAATTCAGTAAGGATTTAAATTTAACTATTCTGATAAATTCAGATGTTAATACTGATTTATACTTGGTTAAACATTGGCTCATCACTAGTAAGAATTAGAAGATATTCCACATCTCAGCTGCTGTACTTTCTTTATAAAATGTTTAATTAGTCAGCTGCATAGCTTTCCAAATGGTGCTAAGGTATGGTTTAACTAGAAAAAAAGACATAACCCATATTAATGGAAATACATACACTGGAAGCGGAAGCGTTATCTTAACTGGATCCTGGACAACCCAAACCAAGTATACAATTAACAAATGCATCATCAATGGTTACTGTCAGTGAAAGCATAATCTCAAAAACATTCAGTAGATCCAGGGATGTATCTTTTTGCCCAATAGAAGTCTTGCTTGCATAACAAGTAAAAAAATATGCGATTTTAATATTATTATTGTTATGTGTCTATTCTTATGTTGTAGGAAGTTGCCTTGTTACTCACAGAGAATGCAGCACTTTGGTTCCCCATTGGTCTGATGCGCCACCTACATAGTACTCCAATCAGCAATACTAAAAGGAGTTTGCATGTTCTCTCCCTCCCACACTCCAAAGACATGCTGGAAGGTTAATTGTCTCATGTCTAAATCAGCCCTATAACAGTATGTATGTATGTGAGATAGGGACCTTAGATTGCAAGCTCCTTGAGGGCAAGGACTGATGTGAATGTGCAACTATGTAAAGAGCTGCATAAATTGTTGGCGCTATATAAATACCTGTAATAAATAATAAATCAATAATAAGTACCATGAAAGGTTTACTTGAAATGTAATGTAAATGTATTCATAAAATTTGATTTTTTTTCTTTTTTGTGGTCAGCTAAATATGAAATAGTGCATATAAATATTTTGCATATTTACTTCTAGCCAACAGGTGGAGCCTGTAGCCTGTTTTTGTACATACTGTATTTTCTTGTCCATCCTTATATTTACCTGAATGAAGCCTGTTCACAGAGATCTACTATAGCTGAATTTTACAAACAGACGTTAATAAGTTAGAGCAGTGCTCTTAATAGAAAACCCGTAGTACTCTTGGAATCCTTTGCCATTTTTTTCACCCTGTATTAAGGCTGTATTCACAACTTAGCATTAAAATGAATGGAAATGCATTTTCAACACATGAACAAGCAGTGAAGTGAGTTATTATGTCTTTTAACATGTGTTGCAATCCACTTCACATTGAGCGTTTACATGCGTCTTGGTGTAATTCCATTTATTTCAATGCATCTGGCGGAACTGCTAAGGTCTGACTGTAGCCTAAATGTGAGTAAAATATTTTTTCTTAATGGCACCCTAATGCCCCTACCTGTCACATGCGCGTGGTATTAAACTACATTGCATGTTAACCTATTACCATGGGATGTGATGCGATTTTAAAGAAAAGGGCACACACATAGGTGGAAAAAAGACTCAAGTTCATTGAGTGCTTTCAAATGAATGAGTTGCCTACTGCAGCACACCATAAGGGCACCTCGCAGCCCCTCCGAGATATCGCAATACAGAAGTGGGAACAAGCGGTAAAGTAACAGTGATGCTCTGTGACTGTTTACTGAAATGGGAGCAGCCCCCCCTATAATAAGGCAGCCTGAGGCAATTGCATCTCATTGCGGGAAGGCAGGGGGGCAGCCACAGCGTCCCAGGTCGCTAAGAGTTCTTAGCAACCTGTGACACTGTCTGGCGTTCCGCTCAGCTCACTGATGTCACTGTAGGTGGTATTACGCCAAGCTCTTAGCAACCAGTGATGTCAGTGAGCTGTGCCGGACGCCAGACAGTGTTGCTGACAGCGCAATCAGGCGTACTCTGTCGCCCCACAAACCCATTCCCCCCCACATGACCAGTGTTTCCTGCCAGCACCCCCCACCTCCAGGAACGACATCACATCAGGCGTTGAATACCATAGGGATGGCCCTTCCTGAGAGACAGTGTTCTTGAAGCTACAGTACACAAGACGATGTCTGAACTATAAACCACCTTACCTGTATGAAAACGCATCCTTCACCCTCCACCTGCACAGTGTAGTTTCCAGGCAGTCTTGTCAGCGGTTTCCTCTGTAGAAGTAGTCGTGTCTTTTCATCCACATAGAAACGATGCAGAATGCCCTCATCTGGTCTCAGTCTTACCTCCAGCGCCTCACGTCTTGTATAAGTCATTTTAGAAAATAGAGCGATAGCCTTGAACCCCACCACTGTGTCCTGTGCAGGAGACGTGAGACAAGGACTTATTTATTAAGTGAACTTAGATATAACAAACTATATGCAGTCGAAGATCCCAAAGATGATCACAGTGTCTCCTTAGTCAATAAAGTAAATGCATTTTATAAGATCATTATAAAAGGTTACACACTTGAACATATGGGGCTTGCCTTCGTAAAGTTGAATATTCAATGCAATGTTGAAGAAAATGGACAGAACAGAAGCTTCTTGCAGATCTATTATTCTGCTATTAGAATTTTCTGGTGGGCCAGACCCAGTCTAATTCTTGGAGGGAGTGTGTTTTCACTCTGAGCATTCACTTACCAACATGCAATTCTATAGATTGGGAAGATGGGCATATGAACACCTCCCCTGCCATTTTCCTTGTAAGATGGTGCAGCTCAAGGCATTATTCACTGCATCTTAGTGAGCGCTGTTACTTTAATGTCATAGAATTTGGTGTACATAAGCAACTGGTACTAATCACTGATTCCTTCTTCTTCTGGCATTGATTTGCCATACATTCCTTTGCGGGCGATCGCACTGCGGCGCCATTGACTATGAACTTAGTAAGTGTTCAAAAGAACTGCCAGTGTTAAAAGCAATCACATTTAGCGGTGCAAGTCTTTTTATTACTATTCCAAGTGAGAGACCTTTTTAACGGGTTTCTTATTGAATAGGTAAAAACATTTACCAGTTAGTACCTCCGCCTTGCAGCACTGGGGTTCTTGATTTGAATCCTGGCCATCACACTATCTGCATGATGTTTGCATGTTCTCCCTGTGCTTGCAATGGGTTTCCTCCCACAGTCCAAAGACATGCTGGTAGGTTAATTAGCTCCTGTCTAAATTGGCCTTACTGTGTGTGTATGTGAGATAGGACCCTGGCGTTCCCCCAATTGGGCAGGGCTCAAAGAGGAAGAAGAAGAGGGCCCGAAGCTCCCTCGTGCCGCTACAATTGCTCCCCCGCGTGGTAGTGGCGCTCCCTCCCCCACCGCTCTGCCATCCGCAGCAGTAAAAGCGAAGCATGTACAGCCAGCTATGTGCGGATGGAGAGGCTGTGTCTGTCACCTGTCAGCCTGCCATAGGCGCTATCAACATTGCAGACACCGCCTGGCAGCAGATTCAGCTGTTGGGAGAGGATCCTCTCCACTTAGTCCTGCCCCAACTATGCAGCACTACAAGTCCCAGCAATACATCATATTGCCCGATACTAAGCGTAGATACCGGCCATGGCAAGTTTTGGAGGGCCCAGAGAGGACCAGAATGCTGGCATTGATTTGCCACACATTCCTTTGCGGGCGATTGCACTGCGGCGCCATTGACTTTAATGCACCACCACGCCCCCTCCCATCCCAGAACGCAGTGAGCCGGCCGGGATGCGATCCAGTGCGTTCCAGCACTGAATCGGGCCGGATCGCACTGAAACTGGTGTGGACTAGCTCTGAAAGTCATAACATACATACTGTTTATTTAATATATATATATATTAAAAAAAGGTATCAAAATCATGTTTTTTTGGTGGTGGTGGGGGGCTTAAAGGGTTTCTAAAGCCTCCGTTTTTTTGCATATATCTACTGCTAGCAAAAAAAAGTTTAAAAACAAAACAAAACCACTTTAACAGCGGTTTAAACTTACCCCGTCTTCGCCGCGCTCTCCCGTCTGAAAATCCGAAACCGCAAAGGATCTTGGGGCGGGCGCATGCACAGTTCGGATTTTCGGCCGGGAGACGAGGAGAGACGCAAGGTAAGTCTATGGACGCGTGCACCCGCACAGACTCCGTGGGACAGGAAGTACCAGCAAGGACAGAGGAGTCAGCGCTGGATCGGAGAGCCGCCGCACCGCTGGAGGGACAGATGAAAACGACAGGAAAGAAGATCGGAATAAGGGACATCATTTAAGGTAAGTGCTGACATTAACATTGGGGGGAGGGAAACATTTTTTTGACTTTAATGTCACTTTAATCGTTTCTTGCACCGGGGCCCTGAGGTTTATTATTATCCCTCTGGATAGGACCTTAGATTGTAAGCTTCTTGAGGGCAAATTGATGTGGTTGGTAAGCTTCTTGAGGTGCGCAAATTGATAGCACTATATAACTATCTGTAATGAATAAAACAATAAATAACTGAGGTATGGGAATCTACCAGAATACCACACTTTAGATTGAATAATGAATCTCATTGTCACATAGTCTGATGTTTAAAATCTTGTTCTAAAAACTTTACTCTTAGACTGGGTTTTTGCACTTAGTACAGAACAGAAAAAGAGAAAAGAACTGGTAAGTTTATTTAATTTTTTTCCTTTTAATAAAGAGATGAATGGGAAGGGTGTGGTATTTATAAATCAAATCAGCAGTGTAGTGGGAGTTTTTTTGTATTGTGTTTTTTTTTGTATTTCTATTTTTTTTTTTCTTCAAAAGGAACCGTTTTCAGTTAACTAGGGTTAGGTATAGCAACCTATCTGCCCCAATGGTGGGCATGTAAATGGAAGATAAACCCTAAGCAGGCCACCATCACCTTTAGCAGGCACCAGTAATATGAATGATTCCAGTTCCCCTTGTGTACAGCTTACAGGTAACATCTGCCAACCTGAGTATTAGCAAACCCGCCATGTGGGTTCCGCTGTTGTACGATCCACTTAGAAATACAGGAAGCCTCATTGATATCCTTTGCCGAAACAGTGTCTGAAGAAAGATGTGCCAGGGCCACATAGGATGCCAGTTCCACCTCATTGGAATTAGGCTCAGACCATGTTGACTTTTCGCCAAGATTATCTGGATTTGCAGGCCAATAAGTTTCTCCTCCTACATACAAAAACATAAAAAAGGAGGAAAGTAAGTGTGTAAGTAGTGAGTTTTAATAATAGCGTGCAATATTGCATATTTTTCTTTATACCACCATCACAAACACACTTTCAGCTGCCCTACTTAGTACAACATTTTAAACAAAAAATCCAGGTGACGGGATTCTCTCCAGGAAAGAAGCCTTGGAGCATGGAAGAACCTTGTTTTGTGCAACTAGGTGCTTAGCCTTAAAGTGTATCTAAACCCAAACAGTTCATGTATTGCAGCTTACCAGTCTTTAGATGTGGTGGCTAGTTTTCTTTTTTTAGACTTATTTTCCTTTAGTTTCACCTGGTTATATCAACCAGGAACACACTGACTGTCTTAGGGTGGTTTCACTCTATGGAGGAGCACTGGAGTCACCCTTGGACAACAGCATTGCCAACCTGTGGACTGAGTAGTGTTAGATGTACCAGCAGATTTAGATGGACTTGACTAACAAATTAAACCCAAACTCTTTCTAAGAATTTTAAAGCAGTTACATCAACAGTTTTATTTTTTTTCCCTTTTGGGATAAAGGTTTTACATGTATTAATAATTACAAACCATTGTAAGCACCATTGCTTAGGCCACCCAAATCTCCCTCCAACCCCCCAAATAAACCATACCTTTATATGATGTTTAACGGCCATAGCAGCCTTTTATTGTACAATTAACTGAATTATAAATTCACAGTCAGAAAAAAACACACAGAATAGGCTGCAGGTCTTTGAAGGTCACAATATTAACAGATATGTTGTCACTGCGGAACCACTAAATGTGGTAGGCCCCCAGCCACACAACACCGCCTCGGGGGCAACCTTCAAATTGACTGCAGACACATAAATATTTAAATTTCCTGTTCACTACCATATATCACACCATGAATTGAGAACACCATACTAAGACAGGTACTCAGATCATTGGCGTCACAAGGGAGGTGCGGGGGCTACGGCCCGCACCCGGGTGCCACCATTGGAGGTGTGCCACCCTATGAAAAGTCGGGCTCTCAGTCATGGACCAAGAGCCCGACAGTGTCAGGAGAGAGGAGGGGAACCACCACCTATTTTGGCTGCCTTCAAAGACCCCAAACTGCCAATGCTGCTACAACACTGAAAAGACAACAACTGACAAAAACAAACAGGGCAGGTGGGTGGGAAGTTCTCTCTTTATTCAACTATCCCTGACTGATCCAGTGAGACCCTCCTCTTCAAATCACTATAGAAGTTCCACCTAACCTTTGCCTACTAACTAATCAAGTAAGTGACCTTTGCGCTCAAAACCCCGGTTTAACCCCTCGGTTACTTGTCTCCCCTCTTCACTTAGTCATGTAAGCCCAGTAATTTAGCTTTTGAGTTTCAAATGCTGATTAAATTACTTACAATGGATGCTGCCTCTTGATATTTAAAAGTTTTAGTTTCCTGCAGAATCAGTTGGTCCCCTAAACACTAGCCATGATATCCTGTTTTAAGGGTGGTTCCTTTCCCTTGCAGGGTCCTATGGAGCCACCCCTGTGTGTAATAGTAAGTTGGGTGTGTGTCTATACCCAACACACAAGTTAAGCTACTACCTTCCCCCTGCTCCCATCTGCTCCCTTTTCCTTCCTTTTTCCCTTCTCCAAGGTCATAGATGGACAGCTGCTGGAGACTGCTCGGTCCCGTGTGATCTTGTACTGGACAGGAAGTTCAGGGAAGTGGCGCTGAGAGAGTTGGAGACAGCTGTTTGGAAACATGATGACTGGAAGTGCTTGAGCAAAAATGTAAAGAAATACTTTACTGGGCAATGTATATTTGTTTGATCTGGACTCATTATTGAAAATATTTTTTAATATTACTTTAACTGCCACTCTACATGACAGGTCAAACACTAGATTGTGAATCCCAATCAAAGCAAGTTGAGAAAAATAATTATTGAAAAATGAAAATGATAAATGACTCATGGCTTCACATTTAATGTCTGACAGCTGTGAATCCATCTGTATGCCAAAGAGGTCTTAGGTTACAGCAAAAAATACTATGTGCTATGGCTTGAATCAAAGTAAAGAGAGCTCTGTAAGTTATTGCCTCATCTCGGCATACATATTCAATGTACATATAATGCCAATATGTCCCAGTGTATTATCTTCAGACAAAGAAACCACTCAAGCCATATCAGGCTATCACCAAATATACCATTATGTCACCTGTTTTCACGGCTTGGCCATGCAGTTCCTCTAGAAGAATTTCTCTGGTCTCATAGTCTCCAGCCAAGGTGAATACATAAGCAAGGAGAGCCTTTGTATACAGGCTGTCCACTTGTGGGATGCTGTTCCGAAGACATTCAAGAGCATTTTGTACAGATGGATCCTGGAAGAAATAAAATCCATCGACAGGTCTCAAAATAGGATAACGTCAGCGTTGTATTTTTCCATCACATTATTCCATGCACACATGAATAAACGTGTTCCTCTGTACAATCTTCACCCATTGACACAATTTTCTCTGGAAGCCCTGGTTTACACCTAGCTTTTAACTGCCCAACACAAGAAATCCCATGATTTTCAATGGCCCTGGTTCACACCTGAGCAGAAAAACGCCAGACGCCTGAAAAGGTACAGGAGCTTCTTCGGGCAGTAACAAGCGCTTTTCCTCCCCATAGACTTCATTGGAAATGGCCAAAAACGCGCAACAAAAGCATGTCGCACATTTCCGTGAGCATTTTTTCTCGTTTATACGCACGTTCTTACATTGCCCACAATGGTTTATGAGCTGCCAATCAAAACGCGCATCTTCATGGACGCGCATTAAAATGCTCATACAAAATGCGCATAAACGCGCAAATAACTGCATGCAGCTATCGCACGTACAAACGCGCAAAAAAGGTGGCGCCAATGTGTGAACCAGGGCTCACTATTAAGGAATACACTGCAACATAACTCTTTCTCCAGACTGCAGATTACACTATGATGGAGCAGCAGCAGCAGACTGAAAAGCTCATCGCTCTGCCAGCTCTCTCCTCAAATCAGCTTGTTCTCAGTTGCTCCCCCTCAGTACTGCCATAGAGAGGATTGAAAAAATGAGGCCGGTACCAAGTTAAACGCTGGCATACCCTTGTTGTATTTAAAATACATTTTATGAGTTATAAATGAATGGATTGCTGCATTAATGTGTGCGTTTTAACCTGCCTGGCATTCATGGAAGTAAGCCACCAAGTTATTCCATAAAACACTGCAACTTTTCAGTATGTTGCAGTGCCAGAGCCTGGAATGGAGTGTTGACATCACCAATCCCTGTGAGCTCCAAAACAAAATGACACTGAATATTGTGGTGGCAGCTGCCACAAAGGAGGGAGCAGTAGGAATTTGCTAGAGAGGGGAGCCAGGGGGTGGGCTTTACACAGATAATAAATGGGCAAGGTGGCAGAGTTAAAATATATAGTATAGGGTCCAGTTATAAAGCTGACAGTTTTGGCATTTCTGTGGCCATACCACTTCTTTAAAAAGAAAAGCACTGTAGATTTATAAAGCACTTTACATATGTGCATTGTGCTCTGCTTGTTTCAGAAATCTGAAGCAAGTAAAATGAATTAAGGTACGAGAGCCCGGCCACATAACTTGTCAAAATCATGCAGCTAAAAATTTCCTCTGCATTTTTAACCAAGCTTCCTACTGTGGACTGCATTTTATGAATTCCTTGTACAATGGAAGTCATGGTGTGTAGTAACATTTGCGGTGGAGAGTGATATCTGCTCTGCACTACAAATACCCCCCTATGTTATTTGTATATCTGTAGAGTCAATCTTGAGATTTACACACATTATCCAAGAAGCAGGAAAATCATTTTGATTATGTCTCATTGTCATACTCAATATAATGCCCACAACCATTCCTCAACTCAGATGCATACCAGCATTTCAGCGCTTTCAATATTTCTGTTTGAGGATAATATTAAATTGTTGAAAGAAAAGTTGAAAGTACCTCGACAGGCCATCCTGTCTCCAGAAAAGCTATTGAGATGTAAGCACTTAATGATGTTTCATCATTCACGCCTCCCTAGTAAAAAGAAGAAATATTACAATTATTAAAGATGTTCCTGCAATTGCCCTTCCTCTGTATTGATTGCTCCAGTCCTACCCAGGGGATACCAAGACACAGAAGGGGATACCAAGACACAGAAAGGGAAACACAGGTCTGAGGGCCACCATAGCATAGCCATAGCAGCCTTTTTATTAAACAAAATATAAAACTTGACCGAACTATAAACTCAAGCCTTTTTGAAGGCCAAAACTTATTAACTGATATGCTGTCTCTGCAGAAAACTTCTTGAAACTGTTAGGCCCCCAGCCGCACCACACCGCCTCGGGGACAACCTACATATCTAAGTCACCTGTTCGCCAACTATAAATTACCATGACTTGGAGTGAAACTGTGAGTGAGGGAAGCTGGGACGGGGCTGGCTGTAAATCTATTGCTATAGTGTACTGGACGTGTGTAATGTATATGTAGTACATATTTACAGCACACACCTCCACTACACTCCAGCAACAGAGTTACAATTCTCCCCTGCTAACATGAACAGGTTAAATCATGATCCATAGTACATAACATGTAGTTGTACTATGGATCATTTAAAGTCACCTGTACCTTTAAGAAAAAGTATCGGTAATTGGTATCGGCAAGTACATGAGGGGAAGTACTTGTACTTGGGCCTGAAAAAGTAAAAAGTAGCATTGGGGCATCGGGACATCCCTAGTTGTCACCCTAGGACAAGAAGTGTGTTACTGGCAGGATCACCAGGTTAGGCTCCTTTCACACAGGCACCATCAGTTCCAATCAGGATGGGATCTGTGCATGGATCTTCTGCTGATCGGAGCAGTTTGGAATAGATGTCACTGTTGCGATGGAGTTAAAAACTGAAATTAATGGACCCATGTTGGTCTGTGTGGAGTCGAATGTAAATGGACGTGTCTGTTTGCACCATATTACCCCCGATCCGGCACGATCAGGTCCAGTGGAATGGAATTCTGATCCATTTAGTTCCAGCTGCTCATAGACTAACACTGGGGGGGTTATTCATGTAAGAGCCGAAGGATCCAGCCGTAGCTTTGGCTGATCCTTTGGCTCACTTTGGCCGCCACTGCTCTTCGGTTCAGTCGAACTGAAGGACTGCTGTACGGGCTATTCACAATAGCCCATACAGCAGCCGAAGGCAGCCAAGCCGAACGCATATGGTTCGGCTCGGCTGAGCTGTAGTGACACCCTAAGCGTGGAGAAAGGCCGGCCGATGCTTCAGATGCTTCATTATGCGGCGGGAGTTCATCGGATTTTTTTTTTTTTACTTTATTTTTTCTTTTCTTTAAAATATATACATATATATTTTTTTATTTTTTTACATTTTCCTATTTTTTACATTTTTAAAATAATTTTTCAACTGTTTTGCTATTCTGCTCACTACCTCAGAGGCATTCGGCTATTCATTTACTGCCGTTCCGCCCCTATGAGAATAGCGGAGAATGGCAGTAAGTGAGCTGCCGAAGCTTCGGCTCAGCCGATCCAGATGTTGGATCGTCTGAGTCGAAGTCCTTCTCACTTTGGCAGCCAGTCCTTCTGCACTGAAGGCAGCCAATGTACGGCTGAAATCAGCCGCACAAGGCTGAAGTGAATAGCCGTACAGCGTTATTCCTTCGGCAGCTAAGTGAATAACCCCCTAGGTTTCTGGTCAGATTCGCCTAAAAAAACTGACAGGCAGACCTAATCAGACTGCTCATGTGTAAGGGCTCTTAAAAAAACCCAGAAGAAAGAAAACATCTAAAGGACTGGTAAGCTTCATTATATTTTGTGTTTGTTGATGGGTTTAGATACACTTTGAGGTCTTTAATTAACAGTCAATGGATGAGTTTGCACTGCTCTACTGTTCTCCATGTACTGTTGTACCTTTAAAGTGGTTTTGAAGAGTTTCCCCCTATTTCTGAAACATCCACTTGGGAGCTGGTTCTCCATCAGCCATTTTCCTGTCTCCTCAATGTATTTCTTATCCACGTAGATACAATGAGAAGCTGCATGAAGAGACATCATGACAAAAGCCGTCAGCCTGAAAATATAGAAAAAACCTGAATAAGGTTATTCTGTGCTATTGTTTTACTTGGAGTGTTTGCTGAACTTTCCATAATGGAACTCTGTGTACTTACCAGGCATTGCCATCTTCATCACTATCCCCAAATGCACTGAATGAGCCATCTTCTCTACAAAAGTCAAGCTGTCTCTGGTATCCTGGCAGAAGAAGTGTATCAAACTCAAATGAATAAGCAGGCCAAAATAACTGGCTTAAATCTGAAAAGAGACACCCTTTAACCCTAATTCCCTATTCTATCCAATACTCAAAAATGTTTTGACTGGAATCCTACTGAGGGCCATAAACAGTAAGTGTCAGAAATACAGCACTTTGACATGTCTATGGTGAAACATAACACATTCACATCAAGCACAGAGGAAACTACTTGTGCTCGTAGGCAGGGCAACTTTGCTATAATGACAAAAAAAGATCATTTCATTTTCCCTAGAGGATTTAGGGGGGACCTTTTTTTCTGGCACCAGAATACTACCAGCACTTGGTTTTCTGTATCAGACATAATGTACTGTTGTTTTCTTTAGTAATATGCCACTTTTCTTTAAAAATGTTCGGTTGCACTTTTAAATCTAAGTAGCAGGGTCACAGAATTGATCCTCGTCATGCCTTAAGACAGCCCTGCTTTAAAGATCTATATAAATGCAATTTCCTGCCATCAACAATCTAATTCAAGCTGCTATTGTATAGTGACGTTCATGGCATTACATGCCCTGCTGACATTTTTTCCATGCTGTCTACTACCTGAATGGCTAACTTTCCTTTACTCACCTTGTGTGATGTATTTAACTACCAGCTGCTTGATGTCCTCTGTCATTTGGTTTGTATTCTCCAGGTAATCATTCACATAGATATTGGGAACAAACCTGGCCATATTCTGCTCCCCGCATCCATACGGGAGGGTAAGAAGCTGCTCAGTTCCCTGAAGTGCAGAACCCATTAGATCTCCTGCAGAGCATAGATAATGATATATTAGTGTATAAAATATATTTAGTGGCTTCTATTAAAAGGAAAAAGCAATAATAAAGCCCCAGATGGGCCGAGGTCTGATTTCTGGAATATTTGCTAAAAGGAAGGTGACAGATACATGATTTTTTATACAAAGGTAAACCTTAGGTTTTCATAAAAGTAATATTTGTATTCACTTATTTTTAAAATTAAAACAGGTAGTATTTGATCTGGTAAATTGTCCATGGTGTATGCAGGATTTGACATCACTAAGTGCCCCCGGTAATCATGTGATTCAGAATTTGAAGTGGAAACTTTACAAGACACATGTACCATCTGCCTACACTGTAGCAACTATACCTTTATGTTTAATATGCCAATTCCAACAACTAGGTAATAGGAGGAACACAATTTAACCATATAGCAAAAGTGACTTTATCTATAGACTCAGTCTATTATTAGTACCACCCAATGAGAATTGGACCACTATTGATACATGTAACCCTACAATGGGAAACACTGCAGTAATATGTGAGCAATGCACAACATTCAACTCTTGGCAGCCAATCAGAATTTATAAAAGAAAATCCGAATTAGACACTTAAAATCTAAAGATCATCACTATTGCTTTTTTCACTGTTTTACTAAGTAAGAATGAATGCCTTCTATTAGGGATGTCCAGATACCAGTTCAGATACCAGTGCTGATACTTGGCATTTTCATGAGAACCAGCAGGGTTGCAGCGGTTGCAGCTGGGACCTGGCTCTGGCTCTCCACCACTGTCCTGAAATCATTAGTCTGTATTGTTTTAGAAGAACTGTCACATGACAATAAACAAAAAGGTATCAGTACTTGTACTTGCAAAAATGGTATCGGTGCATCACTTAAATATATTTATAACAAAAAAATCATGCATTAAAATGGGGATGTACAAATCCCAGGAGCTCCGTGTGCACCTTACAAATGACAGCTGCCTCCTAACTTTTGAATGTTTCTCTAGTCTAGTCTTGGAGCTGGAAAAGTATTTGTACCTGTACTTGTACCGAGTACGGTACTTGGTATCTGAACATCCCTATCTTCTATGTATGTCTTCCCAACTTATATAGCAGGTGCTGTAATTGTTAAATAAATGTAATTCATGTAGAAAGTAGTAGTAGCATGATTCCCCTAAAGGATCCTGGATGCATATTGTGAAATTCTTACACATGCTATGGAACTATCTGAAGGCTATCATTGAACAGCGTATGGAATATGGCTGTTTAATCTACTCATCACATCAGTTTGTATATACAGTACTTTTAGAATTTGTCTTACCTACAACTGAGAACACAGCTGTTACAGAGTTAGGCACAGTTTCAGGGGGTACCGTGATGAATATGGTCTCAGAAGAAAGATTACCTGTTGCACACAATGCAAGAACAACCATTAAGCCAGCCATTACTATCATAAGGCTGAACTCCAGGCAGATGTAAAAGCCACCATTAGCAATAGTTGCTGCATCTGCCTGTGCCACAGCAGAGTGCCTAGTTCAGAAATCTTGCTCAAAAGAATCCCAAATATATCGTCAGGTAAAACATTTGCCATATATTTCTTTCGATTGTAGAATTAGCTGTTTGCCTGGAGTTCAGCTTATAGAAACATTGGTTTATGTGCTTGTATTTGCAACATGAACCTAAAAACCAAAGGGATTAATTCTCATTTAAGGACAGCAGGCAAAGGTATTCAGAACATAGCTTTGGACCTTATGTATTACAGAGAGTGAATATCACTCTCCGCAGGACAATGCACTAAATATTCCACACTGCACCTGCATTTTAAGTTTGATTCATAAAATGGAGGGTGTGGGGTAAGGCTTGTGGGGTCTTATAGAGTGCTCAATGTAAAATGTTGCAGAGAATATTCCAGGATAGGAAAGCCTTGTCACATGAACTGTCAAAGTCATGTGAATGCCTTTGTTTCCTCCTCATGTCACTTTTTCCCTCCAGTTCATTAAAATGACTGAGTACTTCATTTGCTTTAGAGTCCTGAAGAAAATGAAGTGCAAAGCACATTTGTAAAGCAGTATTAGGGGTACACTGAGGCAGGTCAACTAGACAGGCCTAGGAGTAGTGATATATGCAGGCAGATCAACTAGATAGGGTGACAATACTGAGGAATGGCAACAAGATAGGGCAACCATTAGGGTCATACTGAGACAGGACATTAAGGTAGGACAACCATTAAGCGTGTTCTGAGGTAGACCAAAAGGAGCAGAATGCCGTGCAATATCAATCAGGGATACACAGTTAGCAATAGGGGTACAAAGGAGTAATATGCATGTCTCTGCCTACAATTAATTGAGTAATACACCCATGTGGGTAATTTCGGTTTTGCAATCCCCAAGTTGTGATTTGTAAAAACTTTTTTTTTTTAAAAGCCAATACTTGAGTCTATCTTAACAAACATAAATTAATAGTGCTGCGCTATAAAACAGTGCCTTCAATCTAGATTGCAATTAAACAAGTTATAATGATACATATAAAGTGTAACACCCTTTCAAAACCACATCATCTGTTATACTGTGATTGTACACCATGCTCTCCAATGATACCATAGACCCTGTTAATCATACAAAATAATGACTTTCCTTCAATAATTCCACAAAACAAAACGGTGTAATTTGCCGAATATATGTTCTAGTACGTAGTTCCTTCATGACTTTATCAGGGGTTGATTAAGTCTGGATGAACGCAACGTATGTCGGGTGGAGTCATTTGATGCGATCTTTGATGTAAACTAGAGCTGTAGCGTTTTGGAAATGAGGAGCCGTGATAATATTATCTTCACTGTTTGACTACCCCAATTTTATTCTGGACTCCATGTGGGTAGATCTAATAAAGAAGAGCCAAAGGAAATCTCACCGCTCCAATTCCTTAGCCACCATCAGGACTCCCCCGGTGCTGGTCTAATAGGTGCGTCTCCACCTTGGAACGAGTAGTATACGAACAGACCGTACTATCCAGAGAATTCCAATCCTTCAGACTTTATTGAAATTCACAGCAAATCCAGTATAACAGTGTATAAAAGTGTATAAAGCAACAAATGCCGACACTGCAAACCCCCAACCTGCTACAACCTCTCACATGTTTCACCCGTAGGCCTATTCATAGAGGTTTGCTGTGAATTTCAAGGTGGAGTAATAGAGGGTTGAGCCCATACGCGAGAGAAGGAGATCATTTAGGGTACACTTAATCTGTAAGAATAAAGGGATCGCTGGTGAAGACCCATTTGAGGTCGAATTACAAGGTGAGAGGCGAAACTGTGTGGAGGTGTATTTTCAGGTGAAGGAATAAGCGTCCAACTCATCATCACCTTTGGTGTGACAGCACTGGGAATTGTAGAACAGTAGAAAGGCATCATGGCACACTCACAAACTAGCATGTAAAACAACTTGTCTCACCACTAAGGACAATGACAGAGGTTTGGATACACGTATGGGAATTGGACTCACTAACCAGTACAAAAACTGGACATTGATATATTATTCTTTGGAGATGGAATTATTTTTTGACATGTATTAGGACATATATTTGGCAAACTACACCATTTTTTTTTGTGGAGTTAGTGAAGGAAAGTAATTATTTTGTATGATTAACAGGGTTTATGTTACCATTGGAAAGCACGGTGTACAATCACAGAATTACAGATGATGTGGTTTACAAAGGGTGTTACACTTTATATATCCTAACTTGTTTAATTGCAATCTAGATTGAAGGCACTGTCTTATAGCGCAACACTAATAATGTATATTTATCTGCAGTAATAGGTGGTGGCCTTTAAGTGTTGCAGCTCTAGACATTTGGCGTGGGATATTATAGTTTTAAATTTATGACACAATAGAAAACAATTTAACAAGTTAAAACATTGAGGGCTGGTGCTAGTGCACGATTCTACGGGTCATATCACGGCAGGAAACTGCGCAATCTGCCTGGGGCGACTGGGGTGCCATTAGAAAATAAGCCATGATCGGCGGTGGTGTGCGATTTCATGACTGCGCGGCCCTATATTAGACATGTGCACCGGAAAAAAATTTGTTTAGTTTCGTTTTGATTCGGATTTTGTGTTATTTCGTTTTTCGGGAATCGGATGAAATTCATTAGTGGTAGTCTGTACGAATTTCCGGTTTCGTTTGTTTTGTTGCAGGAAGGTGACATCAATTTTATATTTTTTTAAAATGTCACTTTGCTGCAACGAAAATACATCCACAAACGAAAATTCATACAGACTACCGCTAACGAATTTAGTCCTAAATGTCGTTTACGGAAATTTGGATTCGTTTTAATTCATAATTTCTGTTATTCGGAAATTCGAATACATCCGAATCTTCAAATAACGAAAATTGGACCGCAAAGCATATTTTGCGGTCCAATTGCACATGTCTAATATATATATATATATATATACATATACATATACATATACAGGTGAAAACTCGAATAATTAGAATATCGTGCAAAGTTCATTTATTTCACTACTGCAACTTATGCGGTGAAACTAATAAAAGGCTATTTCCTGATAATTAAAAAGTAATACTTTACCTTTACCACAAAGAATAGAATTGTGAGACTTCTCCACTGGCATGCCCTCTGCCTGCACAATAAAAAATAAATAGCATTATGTTAATAAAATATGTATAAAAATAAATAGTGTTATGTTAATAAAATATGTATTCAGATTTATAAATACTTAAAAAAAACAATTCTGCATAGCTATACTTCGTTAAGTGTGAAATAAAATTACTCTTTTTTAATACATCAGCTATATTAACATTATTATCCAAGAATATGGAGGGGCAAGAAACTAATTCTAAAACAATCTACACCATATAAGCTGCATAATCTGCAAAGGTAAAAAAAAAACAGATGCTACATATGCCCATGCCAGAGTTAGACAAGAATAACTTTTTTGTATTTTTGACTTTTTGGTGTATATTACTAAGACTCACCTTAATAATCACAGTCTTCATGACCGTATCAGAAGCACCAGTGTCTGGGACGATTGGCTGCTCTCCTCTGCACTCTTCTTCTGTATGAATGGCTTGTACACTGACCACAATTTCTGCAGAACCTTGACAGAACAATTATATTGTGTTACAGGCAATCCAGACCCATTATTCTCATGCCACCATGAAAAAGGTGTATGTCTTAAGGCAGAGATAATTACAATACTTTGTATGGTTAATGCTTACATGTGTTCCTTTGAAGTTAAAGCTGGGTTCCACATACATAGTTAAAACACCCATGTGTGAGCGGTCTTATCTGCCAAACGATTTGCAAAAACACTCATCCCCATAATTCAAGCCGACCTGTGACAAAGAACCTATCACAGGTCGACTCTATTGATTGGGAAGTCAGCGAACACATACCGCTGATCACTGACTTCCTGGTTCTCTTCCTTCTGACTGTCAGCTCCCTGCAGGGATTCCCCCTCCCCTCTCTGCTTCTCCGTCGCTGACTGGAGGAACGGACGAGGAAGGGGTGGGCAAAGCTGGTTTTGCTTTTAGAGAGGCAGAACTAGCGGTCAGTCAGCCAGCTGGGTGGATCTCGACAGTATTGTCAGATTCCGTCCCCGCTGCAAGGCTCTCAGCATATAGTGGACAATAGCCTGCTATATACTGAGTTTTGGGTCACAGGAGGACAGTATATGTCCTCCTGTGACCCTGAGGAGACTTATGGGCAAAAAAGGTTGCCCCATAGTTCTCCTTTAATTAAAAGTTTCATCTCGGGCAACTCAAGCCCCGCCATATTTATCACACTGGGAGGCAGACCTGGGCACCACCCTGACAGGATCTCAGAAAAAACGACTGCTTACCCTTACTCCTCATCCTCCATTAGTACATATGTGCTAGAGGCCTCATTTAAACTACTGGCGAGGTGGTACTATACACCGGACCATCTCCACGCGATGTATCCAGTGCATCCTCCACAGAATGTTGGAGGGGATGTGGACTCGTAGGCACACACTGACACATATGGTGGTCCTGTCCTAAAGTGAAACCTTTTTGGGTGCCTTTAATCTTAATTTTTTTATTTCACTTTTTTCAGATGTCTGCAAAAAAAAAAGGAAAAATAATGTGGCTAAGGAGGGGACATTTTTTGGCAGAAGAACTGTCCCAGGGAAGTTGGAAGCAGCTCTTGTAACCCTAAGAAGCCACTAAAGGCCCAATGCACCCTCTAAACCAACTTATGTTCACTTTCCTCATAGACT